TTGAAGCACAGCTGCAAAATGGCCAAAATTCTGAGCTTCAACCAGCTTTGAGAGCTCAAAATAAGCTCCAAGGGATCTCATCCCAATGGTGATCAAGTTTGATCAAAGATGCCTAGGCGAAGGAGAGGTGTATCTCTTCTTTGGCTAATGTTCCTCTATTTATATTTTTTCTTTGGGCCTCAGGGTCAGGCCCACCCTTAATCCATTGCACGTTTATTTATTCGGCTTTTGTTTTGCTAGTTGGAATGCCGATTAGACTATTCGGCTCTGTGATCGTCTAGGGTGAAGCTGAATACAAATTTCATCCTTGGCTATCCTCATACCTTTAATCGGCTTTATTGCCCCCACAATATTCGGCTCCCACAAAGGACAAGAAGTACATGTGTGTCTTGTGTCTGTATGTAGTATATTTCAATGGTATGCATTAATGGGTTTGTTACGGATTTTGCTATGATTGGGAATTTTGTTGTGGGTTTTGCTATGATAGGCAACTTGTTGGGTTCGTGGTTGATGTTTGTCAAGAAAAATTTGTGATGTAATGGGTTTGTGATTAAGAATTTGTGCCTTGGTCGTGATGGTGGTAGGTGTTAAATTATTGTTTAATTTATTTACTTAAAAATAAATGAATAGAATCTGTTGAAATATCTGAATAGTTGCTATTTGATTCAAAATTCATTTTCATAGCTATACTTTGTTTTATGGTATGAAAAATTGAGGGATGAAAATAGACTTCTTAAAGGTGACATAAAATTTTGTTTCATAAAATAAAAAATCTGTGCAGCAATTATGACTTTGGACTCACATAAAATATAGTTTTTGAGATTTAAATGCTTTGGAATTTTGGCCACATGACCTCTAATATGTGTAGTAAAAGTTCATGCTATTCGTGTTTATATCTTATTTTTAGTGAACTATTAGAGAAGAGTGAACAATGTTGGAAATTAGGTAGATTGCCTACACTTATGTACTTTTTTTAATGGTTGTGAATGCGACTGTGGTGAATGGTGAGAAAGTGAAGGAGATAGTGGGTTAGTGTGTGAGATTGGTGGTCTTGAACAATGGTGGTATATTTGGGCTTGGTAGTTGGGTGACCAACTTAATTGAGTTTTCTATTAATTGTTGTATTCTTCAACACTCGAAAAATAGATCCATGCCATAGTGAGAAACAAGTTTTATTGATTAAATTGGGGATTGTTTGTGGTCTCCAAAATAGAAGATTTTATGGCTACGTTATATATATACACATGTATAGTGTTCGATTTTATTTGGATTAACCGTATTGCTTTTGCTCATCACTAAGTGAACTCTTCCTCGGTAATAAAGCAAATTGAATGGAATACTATATTATGTTTTGATTGGGAGCATTATAAATTTAAATTGGGCAAATGGCATATTAATTTGGGACTTGGAACTTGGTTGAAGAAAGACATGAAAGAGGATGAAAGATGTGGCAAAGAAATGCAAAAAATGGGATGTGACACTCTACACGGTATTAGCCCCAATGGTATTAGAGAGGAGAAATGAATTTATACTTAACAAATCACGCTAATTCAGCATAATTAACCTTTTGAGAATCTGGGGGGACACTCTACATAGTAGCCTCTAGTAAGAATGATAGTGGTTAGATTGATAGTGGTTGGGTGATGTGTTAGCATTTTTGCTGTTGCTGGTTATCTGTTGTTTGTGCTAGGAAAATGCCCTTTTGCTTTTGTACTTTTCTGTTATATCTGTTTTTGAATTTTATTTTGCTTATCACAAAAATAAAATGCTAGATTTTAATATTACTACTGATCTAAGTCTTTCATTTCGTACTTGAAGTCTAATCTATGTGACTACTCTATTTGTAACTGAAAAAAATAATAGAAAAAAAGGTTTATTGAATAAATTTGAAAATGTAAATTTTGAAATAAATATTATGTGATTCTACTTGAATGGCATGAATCAATTAATAAGCGAAGAGGAGTATTCATATAATGATAGTGTTATTATCTTTGTTATGCATATATCTTCTTGGAAATTGATAGTAGTTTTTTATTAATTTTGCATGTTTCAAGATCGTTTTTTTTTTTCGTGTAAGACATATGATTAGTTTTTTAGTTAGAAATAGGGATTATTGTACGTTGATTGTTTATTAATTTTGCATGTTTCAAGATGGTTTTTTTTCGTGTAAGACATATGATTAGTTTTTTAGTTAGAAATAGGGATTATTGTACGTTGATTGCATTTGAGATTAGTTTGAGAACCCAATTTGAAGAACAACATTTACCCCACCTCCGTACCTTGTATAGACTGCAATCAAAATTGGCACGACCCATATACATTTCCGTGAAGGAGTATATGGACATATTTTTGAAATTGGGTCCATATGAGTACTGTCATTTTGAAAAATTTATTAAAGATAAGACAATTAGGGTGTCGAGTATGATTAATACTCCACTATTGGAACAACCAATTGGTAGGGTTGTTTGGATTCCTCCTCCTGTGGATTGGATTAAAATCAATTCAAATGCATCATTCATCAAGATAGGTGGGATTGTTTATGCGGCAACGGGGGTGGATTTCCGAGATCATTTGGGTACGATCAAAGCTATGCATGCTATGCCACTCAGAGGTGTATGCGACAGCTACGAAGTTGAGTTAAAAGCTGTCGAATGTAGCCTCATTCTAGCTCGACAATATGGGTTCGCAAAGATATTAATACAGTTGGATAACTCATTCATTGTTAAAGCTATTAAAGGCGGCGAATTACCAATGAAATATTACGATCTCTACTTATATGAATTATTGCTTTATTTATTTTTATTTAGAAGTTGTTCAAATGATATTTTTTCATTGCATTAATGCATTTTTTGTACCTACAGGTGTCATATCTATGTCGTGTCACGTGTCCTTTCCGTGCTTTTTGGTAAGCTCAAGCCATTCAGAGCCTACTGACTCAAAAATTAAAATGTTTTGTTGAAATAATAATCTTGGCAAGGATTTGAAGAGATTTGCAAATGGTAAAGAGCATGATTTAAGTCCAAAGAAATACAAAGCCAAATTAGATGACCCTCCAATTAGTTCATCAATGGCTGGTTCTTGTACTTCTGCATCAAGAAATGACAAAATAATTGCATCTCCTGGCATGGTTATCAGAATCCCGATCCGGATCTTACGATCCTACGATCTTACGATCCATTTAAGTACAATCGATCCAGATCGTGTAAAAATATCCTTATATGTAGGATCTTTCGATCCTGGTAGTGGATCTTATAGGATCATGGAATCCCGATCCGAATCCGATCCTATCCGATCCAATTTACAAGCCTTATTTTGTATTGTATGACATATTTTATTGTAAATTTTATGTTTATTGTCTAAATACCAATTTACGTGGTCAAAATAAATGATAAAAATTAAGTCATATTGAATCAAATAGACTAAGAAAAACAAACTAGGAAACAAACATTCAAATATTGCGGTAATTTAAGAAAATTAAATAGTCGGAAAAACAAACTTAGCTTTAGCGGAGTCTAACGAGGGTAAGATGATTGCAACTTTATCCCAATTTTTGGAGAGATTATTTTTGTGACTTGAATCCGCTCCACCAGGGATGCTAACGACAAATCTTATCATTCGGTTAAGCTATTCTTTTGAGTTCTTAATCTATTTTCATATCCAACTTTATTAAATATTTTTTCTTCGCTTTTTATGCATTATTGTAGATTATGAATTATTTTGTTATAGAATTCTTCTTCTTCTTCACCTTCTTTTTTGATAAAATACAAAACTTTTACCATCGAGTTTTCTATTGTATATTATTATATGTACATTTTACATGGAGTATTATATTTTTCACAATATTTTCACTTTTTTTTAATAAAATATAGGCTCATTTTGTGTATACTTTATAATAAATATTTATTTAAATTAAATTATTATGTAATTTGTCTTTTTCGCTAGGATCTTACGATCCTCGATCCGATTCTACGATCTGATCCTATAAACACCTCCAACAATCCAACGTAGGATCCCGATTTTAACAACCTTGACTTGCGGTGATTATTGGGGCACGTGCAGATTCATGCAATGCTGAATCTTGTGTTCCACTTCGAATTTCCTAGCTTCTGCAATATCTTCTCTTCTCATTTCTAAGGCTTGGGACTATGAAAACTTATTGTAAAACATTCAAAACTTGTAGAGAAACATGAAAACATTATTTATTTCAAAGTGACAAGATCAAAACATAGTTTTTCATCAAGAATTCTCATCTCCCTAATCTCTTTTAACTTCACCATAACTTAATCTTTCCCCAACTTTTACTAGTCGTGATGATCAAAACAAAGGATATAGTGAAGAACTTACTTCACTTCAAAGGTTCGGGTGCTAAGGTTCAAGATCTTCAAGCTCAAATTCTTGTTCATCCTTTTCTTTCTCTTTTCTTCTTCCTGTCACCTCTCTTCTTGCTTTCAAACTTCCAGCAATTTCTCTCTCCTCTAAGCTGAATTTTTGAATAAATAATTGAAAAAAGACACTTGTCTCTCAAGGGTGCAACCTAACCTAATCTTCTTAGTAGGAGGTGTAAGGAACCTAGGTGTGGTGTGTGTATGCTTCTCCTTAGTGGATGGTTCACCTTCTTGCATGCTTCACCAAATCTCTAATCCTCCCTCCTTAGCATAGCTAATCAAGCTTAGTGTTAATTAATCAAGGTTGGATCTTAATCACTCCAATTAGTTTAATTAATCTTGATTAGTACTAATTAATTCTACTTAGTTATCACTAATCTTAATTAACATTTCTAACTTAACATCAAATTGTCAAAAACATTAGTCTAAGTTCTTTAAGCTCCTTGATTAGTGAATAGGACAACTCAAAACATAATCTAAACTTGAAGTCATTTACATTAGTTTAGGATCTTTAAGCTCCTTGATTAGTGATTAGGACAACTCAAAACATACTAAATCTAAACTACGGGATTTTTTTTTCAAAACATGCATGTTTAACTGATTTTAAAATTTCAGATTTTGTACAAGATGGATCTAATCCATATGTGCAAGAAAACAGCTCTGCTAATAGCTCAACAAGTTTTCCTGGTATGATTACTGCCAATTAGATTTTTTTCTATTCATTAGGCAGTGATATGTTTCTGATGCCTCACCACTCTTGATCACAGGACCAGTTTCAGTTGGAATTATTCCTTTACAAGGAGGTAAAAGTTACTTTACCTTTTTATTTTTAGATGCTATACATTTAATTGCTACTTTTTTGATTTGTTCTTACTACTCTTTTGATTGTTGCTATCTTGAAGAAACAATGTAGCATAAGGCATGGCATACATTTAGAGGAGATTGTCAATGTCCAATATGACCCCAAGGCAAAAGTCAAGCTGGAACTTAAGTGATTAGATAACTTAAAATGATCCCAAAATATAGAACAATGTCCCACAGCACCTAAACTATGTTAAAAAGACACCATTTATGCTCTACTTCCATACATTGTCCTTTTGTGACAAATTTCTCTCTCTAAAGTGCATACTTATTGTTGATAATTGGTTTGAACATAGAAATGCATAACCTCACAATTGCACACTTCTACTAAACAAACAATAAAAGAAGAAAATAATTTTATTATCTCTTTGTTGGTAATTCGTAATAGCGAAGAGACTATTTGATGTCTAATGAAAAAATATAGGCAACTTAAAATCTACTATGCTTATGAAAAAGAAAATGAAGATAGAATCTAGATGAGAAGAAATGCTCCAAATGCAAACCTCAAAGCACTGTTAGAGTGCAACCCAAATATCTAATGACCTTGATATTCTTATTCTTGTTTACTTAAATTTATTTTTTTACAAGAAAATCTGGGTAATTTACATATGACGATGATCATCATTGGATAATTGAAAATATAGCACAAAAACAGCCTATGCAAAGGTAAGCATTGTTACACTTCAGCTTGTAATGGTCACCTTTGTTGCACTCGGGCAGGGAGGTGAAATGTTCTTAAAATATATCACTTTGATTTGACTGATTGTGAGAGAGAGGGAGAGAGAGAAAAGAGAGAGAGAGGGGGAGAGAGAAAGGAAACAACATATTTAAACTGCCTAAAGATGTAGTTTTTTAACCCATATCATAAGTGTTGTTGGTCATATTTGTGCTTGCTGATATTGATTGAAATTATAGTTAGTCCTTGAATAGCAATTTACAATAACATAGCATGAGCGTAAATTTTCACGCTCGAGCGAGACTTTTTACCCACCAATAGGGAACGTGATCTGGGTTTAGACAGTCGTGAGACAGGTTAGTTTTACCCTATTGATGACAGTGTCGCAATAGTAATTCAACCTAGTACGAGAGGAATCGTTGATTCGCACAATTGGTCATCGCGCTTGGTTGAAAAACCAATGGCACGAAGCTACTGTGTGCTGGATTATGACTGAACACCTCTAAGTGAAAATCTGGGCTAGAAGCGATGCATGCGCTCGCCGTCCGCTTGCCGACCCACAGTAGGAGGCGTCTGGCCCTCAAAGGCACGTTTCGTTGGTAAAGCCCACACGGCGGATAAGTCGTGCAGGCCGCCTTAAAGTACAATTCCTATCTAAAGTGGCAGGTAGAATCCTTTGTAGATGACTTAAATACACGACGAGGTATTGTAAGTAGCAGAGTGGCCTTGCTGCCACGATCTACTGAGATTCAACACTGCGTCTCTCCGATTGGTCCCTCCCCGCCCCTTTCGTG